CTCATAAATCATGCCTAAGAATGCCCGAAAAGAGATAGAAGCGAAGATATGTACTTAAAACATCTTTTGAAAACATGTTGAAAATAAGCTATTGGCTAGAGCCGGCTTTTCGTGGCTAGAGCCAGCTGAAGGCAAAAATTGAGCCCGCTCGAGCCACCACTTCTTCGCTCGAGCCAGCTTTTGCAGAGTTCAAAATACTGGAAGTTCATAATGTTGGCTCGAGCCACCACTTCTTCACTCGAGCCAGCTGTGAATTTCTGGGCACCAAATTTAACAAAAATGGCTTCCAAACAACCTTCAAAACTTGGGGTCTTGCATGATTTGATCAAATACATAAAATAGCTTTAGAAAACTCCAATACAAGACCCTTAAAACATCTTTTATTCAAAAACTCATCAATTCTTGAAAGATTTGAACCAAAACTTCTTTATGTAAGATTTTAAAACTCTTTTCAAAGTTTTTCATAACATGCAAATGGTGATTAACAAACTCATGAATTTTTGAAACAATGGACATGATTAAAACTCACATGTATGCAAGGACTTCAAAACTCAAACTCAAAATGATGAAACCGAAGGTTAATCTCCAAGAATGTACATGCAAGTCATCATCTTGATCAAAGACCCATTTTCTTACAAATATCGTGAAATTAGCTCAATAACTTGATGAACTCATGATGCATGGAGGATTTACAATATAAATTAGTCATAGAATTCTTACCCAAAGCTTTAATTTCAAAAATGCGAGATAAACTCTCCTAGTTTCTTCAATCTCTAAAACAAAGACAGGCTTCTCTCTCTAGAATGAGCTATCTCTTTCACTCTCTCTCTCTCTCTCTCTAGCTCAAGACGTGGATGAACTCAATGAAGCCAAATGAATGACACAACATTCCCTTAACTCATCAGAATATACAAAACACACACACACACACACTCACATTTTGAATGAGTAACACATGCACACACATGCACTACTTCAACACACCCACAAGAAGTGATCCTCTATGCTCAATAGCATCACATGCCTAAGCACATCATATACTTAATCACATCTTGGATTATGAATAAGGTTAGATTAGATACCAATCATGCATCATTTTAATCAAACACAAGTAACCTTAATTAATCAAGGTTAGCACATGACTCAATTAATCCAAAATAGTTCCAAAAGGCTCAATTTAATCACATGCATTTTTTTTTTAACTAAACTAAATCAATTTTTAACAAAATATCTCATATGGTTCCAAATATTCTAGTTAGTCAATCCATGAACTCAAATTCGGTTTCTAAAAGCATTTAGGCTAACAATTTCATATTCAAAGTAGAAATCATGACAAATAATTTTCAAATCAAACATATATGCACAAATTACTACAAAGCACATATCACAATTAATAATAACACATATTTTCATTCTAAACACTTAGTTAACATTCTTAATTACGAATTAGTAATTATTTACAGATCGGGGTTGTTACATCGCCAGCCATATATTAACTTCGTCGCAGAAACTTTTTCCTTGTTCCTGTGTAGAAATTTAGCCTCATGCCAAACCCAATCACGAGCAATCATGTTAACTAGTCGCCAATAGTTTAGTTTTTGGAAACAAATCCATATATGGTCGCCGACTATGTATATTTGGTGACCAATTTATATTATGTTGCTTAAAATATTCACCAAAAATGTTTTCTGTTGTAGTGAATTAAAATAGATTAAGAAACAAATAAATAAAAGAGAGAGAGAGAGAGAGAGAGATCAAGGAAATATTATATGGTTTCAAGACCATAATCAGAATATATAGTGGAAAACATTATGACGAGGTAGCATAAGTTTTTGAATCAAATGTAAGGGTCATGGGAAACTTTCGTAGACTTTGATGAGAATGATATGAAGAAAGTGTAGTTTTCATTTTTTGTCATTTAAGTAAAAGCTTGAAGTAATAGTGAAAGAAAGTTGCGTGAATAGCATAGTTTATCACTAAATAATGGTTTCAAAAGTAATAAAATTGGAAATTTCAACCGAAGTGAGTCCAAATAAGTCTTTTTGACAACGGTGACTTAAATATATATATATATATATATATATATAATTATAGATACGGCAAGAATACTGCAAAAAAAAGTAATATTTTTATATATTTTAATTTGCTATGTATATAGATATAAATTAAGAGTATACAGATATAAGGTATCAATGTACATGTGGGTATGCTTTTTTTTTTCTTTTTTTTTTCACTTTTTTCTCTTTTTGTTTTCATATATTTTAGTTAGACTCCAAATTAGCTTTTCAAAATTATAGAATAAATAAACAAACGTGTCTTAACGCGTATCCAAATACATCGCACATCGCATATGAATGTACATGCAAGTCATCATCTTGATCAAAGACCCATTTCCTTATAAATATCGCTACATGACATCTCCTACACATTGATGTGCGTGTCTGCGGTATGTCAATGTCTGATATGAGACACCCATTTGGAGCATCCAAGCTTTCTAGGTGAAATCCTTCATCCACCAGTCCTCTACTTTGCATGAGCAATTCAGTTTTACCAGTCAAATGGTTACGTCTAGCAGTTGTATGCTCTAGCCAAGCCAACTAGTCCAATTATTAGAGCCAATTTAGCCAAAAAAAACATATAGCAAAATATGTTCCCAAATTGATGAAGACATAAATAGCTAGACAGACATCCAACAAAAATGGACCACTCATATGCAACCCACGTTTCGTTTCCTTACTCTATGAGGTGTCCTTCCTTCTGTCATTAGTCTGTCGCGAAATTTGGAGATAGAACTTGACTACTTCCTCTCATTTATTATAAGAATAACTAAAACAAACTTGAAGTTCTCATTTGGTAAATAATATTTTAATAATTTTTTTAGTTTTTTAATTAAAACATGACATAAAAAAATTACTATGTTTTGAAATAAATTTTTTGTTATTTATGAAATGATGTACAAAAAGTAGAGAGAAATTTTTTTTAAAATTTTTTTGTATAAATTGTTAGTTTTCTAATTTTTTTTTACTAACTGTTTTACTTTTAGATTAAAATATTGAATTACCAAACGAGACCTAAGATTGTCTGAAAATTCTAACATGAAAAAAGTGAGGTAAGTAATCCTACGACAGATCTTTGAATTCTTAAACAAGAGCTTTAAGGTGAGAACAGGTGTCTAAGCTTTCAAGTTAAAATATAAATCCATATACATTTGGATATCTTCCAAAATCCACCACCACACCAGCCATCTCCAAACCAGAAGCTACGGGTATTCGCGTTTGGTTGGGGCTGAAAAACTTCCAATTCATCATTTGTTCGTCAAATTGGTGAATTAAAAAAAAATAATTTGCATCCGTTCACTGAATTGATAGATGTAGATTGAGTGGATTGACGGATAGATATGAATCGGTTTGGGTTTAAAATTTTATAAATTTTGAACATAATATAACAATTTATCGACATTTCTTTTTTGATAACAATCCAACTAAATATAATTAAAAGATTATCAAGTAAATTGTCAAATACCAATAATAAATACGTATAACAAAATCATACATTATCAAAACTATTTTATTATTTTTTTATTCAAAAATTATTTAATTTGATTTTTTTAAAAAAATAACAAAATTAAACATTATATTTTTCACACAAAAATACCAAATATCAACACTTGTCATTTGATAAAAAGATTTCTAAATTGAAAACACAACAGAATATCTAAACTCTTTTTAATTGAAAATACAAACATAATATGTAAACAAATTGAAAATATAAAATCTTACAAATTACTAAGAATGCTCGCAATTTGACAATTTGGTTGTTGTCAAAGAAACTTCAAATTCCCTATCCGTTCAAAACTAAGCGGATTGAAAAAAATTAATTCACAACCATACGCATCTGTCCAAAATGTGACAGATCAATTCGGTTCGATTGGTTTTGGACGGATTAGAATATCCGCAGCTCACTCTAGAAGCTTTTCTTTTTTTTTTTTTTTTTTTTTTTTTTTTTGGGGTGTAATCACGTTACATTTGAATATTCAAATTAACAGTTATAATGACTCTTACTTCTCAGTCATCAGGAGTAGCTTTTTGTAAATTTTAACTCTTAACTTTAAAACTGTCTACTCTGACAGCAGATGCACACTCTAATTCAACTGTATAGCAAAATTAGCTTCTGGGTCATTAAATTATTTAAAAATGAATGACCAAATATGTCATAGGTGTGAAGATGTCATACCATGTGAGATTATTGATCATTCATTTGGCAAATTTTTTATCAAATTTGAAACCTATAACATTTTTCTTATTTAAAAAAAAATAAAAAATTGAAAAACTCATGCTGGTGCTTTTTCGAAATCCTACAATCCACATGTATAGAAAGGACAGTAACGCATTCTTTTGCAAATCCAACAAAAACAATACTGGAAATTAGTTTTGCATTGTCAAAAAAACCTGACTCAATATGCATTACACGACTAGCCTCTCCAAGACCCAACCAACCCATCAACTGAGGCATAGCAAGATGGCCAAATTATCATTGATATAATACCAAAAGAAAAAAAGGGGTAACCCTACATTACCACACAAATTTTGCTCTTAAATAAGACTTCCTTACACTTTGCATGGTATACCAGCAAAAGAGCAATGACACTGGCAGAAATAGCATATCCCCAAATCCTAATTGAAATTGAGCAGAGCATCCGACAATAAGAGTTAAAAGTTTGAATTTTTATTAAATCTTTCTCCCCATATGATTATGATCTAATGAAAAACAATAAATTTTTGTAGTATTTATTTTCAGGAAATTACACAAGCAGCACTTAAATCAAGAACTCGTTACAATAGGATCACCTTTTCCAAACCTCTCAATATAGATACATGAAAAGGATACAATCACCCACCAGGAGGCCAACAGAGGAATGCATCCCCTTCTCAATATTTCACTCTCACTTTGCCTTTTCATAAGAAATAAGAACATAGACAACTGTATACAACCAAGAAATAGAAAAGAAATTCATGGTTCTTCAATTCATGAGAAAAGAAAAAGAAGCAAAGTCACGCCACCAAAAAGGCAAGATAGAAACATTTATGTTTTCCATTTCATATAATCAGACATTGTATCATAAAACAGGTACGGAAAATACAAATGACCAAGCAATTGCTAAAGCTTTAGCCAAAGTAAATTAGCGAAAACAAAAAGTTATCACAGAGAAGCCGCAGTAAAGAAAAAAGAGAAAAGCATACCCTTTTCTCTTATTTCTCTCTTTATTCTGTATCTGAAGGCAAATGTAAAGTATCTGGAATCAAATTTGGAGAATCTGGAAGTGAATGTGAAGTATCCGAAACCAAATGTGAAGTATCCGATGCCAAATTTGGAGAGTCTGGAAGTGAATGTGACGTACCCGAAACCAAATGTGAAGTATCTGACACCAAATTTGGAGTATGTGGAAGTGAAGAAGTTGCAAGTTCTTCACCATTCAGGTTCTGCAAACCGGGCCTCAATTCCCTGTTACAGAAATCATCATACTCTCCTTTATCTCCTCCTTTCTTCTTCACCTCCACAACCCGTAACGACGGTGTTAATTCAAATATCTCCGCTGCAATTGTCAAAGGTCCTTTCACTCCCTCTCTAGTCCCTTCCAAACTCACTCTACAATCCTTCTTCCTCACCGTAAAACTCACAACTTTCGCAATCTCCTCCAATTTCGATATTATCTTCGGCACGGGAGCCCCCGAAACAAACCTAGCCCCATCACCTCCCTCCTCAAACAAACCTGACAAATCAAACCCAGGCGAAAACGATATAATATCGAACGCATTCAAACTCGCCGGCCTTGGCAAACTCGAAAGCCTCCTCCGAGACTCAATTTCCAATTCGGATTCAGACAACAACGATTGATCAGACTCAGACTCAGACCCAACATCATTACTACTATTAATCTCATCATGAACACTACACAACTTATCATCCTCAATATAAAACTTAATATGCTTAAAACCCTTTTTAAACCAGCGATTGTTCATAATCTCAGGAATGGTAATCCTAGTTTCGGGATTAATATCGAGAAGACGAGAAAGCAATTTAACTAATTCATTAGAAAACCACCTAGGACATCTAAACTCACCTTTGTATATCTTCTTATACATAGACATAATGTTCTGATCATGAAAAGGCAAATACCCAGCCATCAAAACAAAGAGAATGATTCCACAAGACCAAATATCAACCTTAGCAGCATCGTACCCTTTTCGACCCAAAACTTCAGGAGCAACATAAGCTGGAGTACCACAAAAAGTGTGGAACAAACCATCTTGTTGAATCTGATCGGAGACAGTACTAAGACCGAAATCGGAAACTTTGAGGTCTCCGTCTTCATCGAGCAAGAGGTTTTCGGGTTTTAGATCTCGATGGTAGACGCCGCGAGCGTGGCAGAATCCAACGGCGGAGATGAGTTGTTGGAAGTATTTTCTGGCTACTTCTTCTTTGAGTCTACCTTTGGCTACCTTATTGAAGAGTTCGCCGCCTTTAACGTACTCCATTACGAAGTAGATTTTGGATTTGGTGGCCATGACTTCGAATAATTGGACGATGTTGGGGTGTCGGACTCTGCGGAGGATCGAGATCTCGCGCTTTATGTGGGCGATTAAGCCGCCTTTGAGGATCTTCTCTTTGTCGATGATCTTGATTGCTACGCCTTCGTTGGTTTTGATGTTTCGGGCATGGTATACTTTTGCGAATGTGCCGTGGCCGAGGAATTTTCCGACCTCGTATCGCCCGAGGAGGAGGCCTTGGGCTTCCTTCTTGGTCTTCGGAGTTGTTTTGCTTGTTTTATTGTCTGCCATTTTTTGGATTTGATTTTGAAACCCTAGATTTTGATTTTTAGTGGTGTGGGTTTGGTACCACCATTGCCATTGGAGGTCGGGTTTTTGAGCTCTTCGTTTTGGGTTTTGCTTGTGAGGTCTCCAAAAGTAGGGAATTTCAGTTTGGTGGGGGATTTTTAGGGGAAATGGGGGTGACGGATTGTGAACGGCGAGGGAGGAAATGGAAGGAAATTTTAACGATTGCCGTTTGACAGCTGTACGGTTTAAGGACGGTGATTGTAACGGCTATATCGTGGACGAGAGGAGAGGAGAGAGAGAGAGGAGTGATCGAGCGTGTATGTGAGCATATTTTTGTTTTGGTATGGTATGGAGAAATTTTTGAATACAAATAGGATAGGTGTTATGTGATACATTTCTCTTTTTTTATTGATTGAGAGAGTGGGAAGTTATATTTATGTATTGAAGGATGGAGAAACAATATAAGAGGCTATTGTGCTTGTAATTGATTTAAGGCACCATATGACATGCCACATGATATCCTCTTAGCATCTAAGAATTTTTTGTACAAGACATTGGCATAGGTTGATAAAATCGACCAACCCCGTTCAATCCACTTGCTTTTAACTGGTTTTAATAGTATGAGCAAATGGACGCCATTAAAAATAAAAAAATTAAACGGTTGTACACTAGTTACGATATTATTATTAACTCTATTTATTATTCAAATTATAAATATTAAAAATTCTTAAATTATGTCATATCATCAATTGATATACTAATTAGTATATTAATTGGTACATATATCATTATTCTTTTTTAAATCTCCTTAAAAAAAGAGCCACAAAGCTCGAATTTGTAGTAGACTCCATGTGATGTGATATTTTAATCTCGATCTTTTTTTTATAAAAAATTTCCACATCTCCCCAGCTCTAGAGCTGGGTTTAGAGTCCAGCTCTAGAGCTCTCAATCATTTCTGAATCTCCTTATATTTAGATGAATAGTGGTTAAGAGATTAGCTAACGCTTCCAAATTTGCCAATTCGCCTTAAAAAAATGATGATCTGCTTTTATGCTTTATGTAGATAAATAAATAAAAATATTTTATTTAGTAATAACATTAATTACTTATGAAATATGAACTTGGCTTTATTTAATAATAAAAAAATGAAGAACAACAAATGTTGGACTCAAATAAGGCCTAAACTAGTAAAAACACACTCTAAAATAGTTCAAGAAAAAATATAAAATAGTAAAGTACAAATTGTCAAATCGATCTGTATTAACTTGCCAATCTGCACAGTCTGCTCATTTTATATCCGATAACTAAGCGGACGTTTTTTCAATCTGCCTAAGTACAAACAAGTGACGGATGAGAGGTCATCCGATCCGATCCGATCCGACCCGACCCAATCCGTAAGCACCCCTAAGAGCTGTTGGAAAGACAAAAAAATCAAAAAAATTAAAAATAACTTTGTTTTGGATATTTAAAAATATTTTTTCATTTTCATTTTCAATTTGTATTTTTTGTTTTTTATTAATTTTTTAAATATTTTAATCAATTATTTTTATTTTTTAGATTCTTTTATATAGATATACTTAAAATATATATATATATATAATGTATATATATAAATCTTTAAACAATACAAAAAATAGTACATTTTTCCTATTGTTTAAAATTTATTAAATTTTTTATAAAAAAGTTCAAAAAAAATTTACTATATCTATATTAGGTACATCTTAAAAAATATCTAGTGTGGTATAATTGGAAAGCTCTAGTATTACATGCACCCTACAATAAATTAACTTAATTTTACCATAAAATTTCATAATATCAACCACAAAATGTATAATCTTACCATAAATTGGCGTAATAAAAAACATCGTAACAAAATCACAAACTTCTATTACATGAATCACAAAATTTTAAATATTTTATTATGCTAATTTGTGGCGATGTTATGCATTTTGTAATTGATATTACGAAATTTTATGATAAAATTACTCAAATTTTATGATAAAATTACTCTAATTTGTAGTACGAGGCATATGATATGCACCCCTAAAAGGGTGCACACCATAGGCTTTTCCAGTATAATTTTTTAAGTAGTATGTTTAGAATTTAATCTAATTTTGTTAAATCATAGGTCTTCTAATTAAAAAAGACTAAGGTTTTTGTTTGGGAAGTTGGGTTGATGGTGGTTTTTTTTTTTTTTTTTTTTTGACTAAAATAGCCAATAAAGATAAATAGTCAATAAGACAAAATGTCACATTCAAATCATAATCATTTCATTTTTTTCTCCTACAACCCAAAAAAAAAAAAAACAAAAAAAATAATTATTATCTTCCAAAACACTACTTCTTTAGCCAGATTAAAAAAACCAAAAAGTCAAAAGCCAACTAAAAGTCCAGTGAAGGTCCAGCGATAAATGTCGGTGCCTTAAAAAAAGGACAGGCTACGGTGCCAATCGTCTCCTAGTATGAGAAGAGACTTGGGAACTCACGCTAGCGATCACAGAATGCCGGGAGGACAGAATCACGGTGAGAAGAGTCCCAGAGAACCCCAAGGACTAAAGGTGTGATGCCCCGAATCTACACTATTGATTGCAGTCAAGGGAGAGTCACTAATGAGTCCTATGGTCAATAATCAAGTAAGATCTCAGATCGCCGGAGGAGTCAAATTAGCCTCCCTTCTAAGTCCGGCTTTCTTAGGCGGCGCACTACTCTTTTGATAGATCTTAAAAAGAATTAACACAAGGTCTCATAAGCAACGATAATGTGTATACATATAACTATTAGAATATAAGTACACAACAACCATGAATATCCTTAATTTCAAAAGCTTGTTCCATTACATTACATCCCCAAAACAAAATTTAAATCTTGATATGAGTCTTACAAAATATCAAAGGAATTTCTAACTTTCCTAAGATAGCCAAAAGTCTTCGAAGGTTTCAGGTTCGTCGTCTCCAGCTATAAGCTCCTCTTCGGCACCTGGCATGATACGCAGTGAGCTTTGAATGCCCAGTAAACACACACACACCCCGTCCCTTTTTCCCAGTCCAATACACAATCACAAATATAACATCAAGTAGTAAAGTATGATACTCAACTAAATAAACAAAGGGTTACAAGTTAGATGTTAGTAAACTATGAATCCCCCAAAGAGATTTCGTCCTCCCAACCACAAGAATCGGACGCGGATTATTCGGTATGCCCTCTCTTTTGCTGCTTTGTTGCAGAACTAACCTCGGATGCCTACCAACGGTTATATACCACGTAGCGCCAACCGCAGAGCCTCAAAAGAGACGGTAATAATGGGCCTTGCCCAAATCCCTCCTCACACCAAACCACCTAGGGTCCGAATACAACCGCTCTGTTCAAGGGTTCTGAAAACCACTTGCGCAAGACTTTAACTTCCAAATAGGGAACGCATCCCAACAATCCATACATCATACATTATCATCTTTTCATTTCTCAAGTGATCGAAAACCCAATACCATCCCAATTACGTTTTCCGTGGAGTTAAATGTTTTAATTCAAGGTTAGACCAACTTAACAAGATAATAATATCCACATAAGCATGCATCATTAAGATGAAGAAGATAAAGAACATAACCATAACACGTACAATATCATGCTAAGATATGATCATAAGCTAATAAGCATTTTCATGAACACAAGAGTATAAAACACCCATGCATAACAGAATTTACAGATTCGATATCACATAAGGATTAGAATGAAAAGGACTATTTAAGATTTTTCACCAGACTCGACCTTCCTATGGTTCGTAGACAATTTAATCTAGTTTCCAGAACAAATTTCGGAAATGGGATAGCTTTTCTAGATTTTAAGTTATTTAGAAAACACTCCAGCGCTGTCCAGATTCGTCGACCGTTACGAAAATATGATTTTCTTACAAACCGCTCACTGTTTTTCAACGAAACCAATTTTATTTGAAATCTAACTCCTTAAGGAAGATTTTGACATAAAATAGAGGTCAAGAATAATTTTCTACATTTTTATAGAAACTTTGACAGTTGGCTGTAAAAACAGATTCCATGGCACAATACCCAAAACAAGAAGATTTATGAGAAAAGGGATCCATTGCGGGAAAATTTTCATTTCTTTTGTGATGAAAACATGCTAACTAACATATATTAAACTCAGAAAATTTGCTTGAAGGTGTGCCTTTGGAAAGTTTGAGAGATTGGTATGAAAATGATAGTTTTGTACCGAAATGAGGGAAAATACAAGAGAGATAGAATCATGGATCAACTCTTATCATTTTTAACATAAGTAACTCATCAATAACACATCTGAAAACAATGTCTAGAACCCTTAAGAACATGTATTTGAAAAAGAAAAATGAAAGAGAAGGTTCTGTTGTGGCTTACTTGCTAGGCTTGAACAGGATGGCTCTCATCTTCCTTCCTCTTTCTCACAAGACTTCTCTCTTGCTCTCCTTTCTCTCCTCTAGGCCGAATGTGTGTGTGAGTGTGTTGTTTGTGTTTGCCAAGCTAGGGGGTGGTGGTATTTATAGGCAAATTTTGGTGTAAAAAGACATAACGCCCACTAGTTGGAATTGGATGGAAAAGTTAGGATTTACTTGGAATCTAATAGAATAAGGAGTGATTAGGGAACTAAATCATGGGATTAGACAATATCTAGTTGGTCTTAAGTTGAAATGAAACTAATATTGAGAACAAAACCCTAGGTTTAGGGGTACTAGGTGCTAGGATCATAATTGCAATTCTTGAAAATAGGCCCCTCTCATTTTCCTAGGGTGGCCGGCCATTGGGAAGGGAGATAGGGCATTTTTTTATTCAATTTAGGTACTGGGGACACATTTCCCAATGTATATATATATGTATATGTAGATCTCAAATTGATTGATGGTACCTATAGTCTAAAAGTACATGTACTAGTTTTGGGAAAATTCTTGAAATTAATAAAAGAAGTGAGGACTTGGAATTAAATTCATGTATTGGAACCTTACTTATGTAGGATTAAATTAAATTAAGCTAAGGAACCTAATTTGGCTAGGATATTCCTGTTTCGATAAAAAAAAAATGCTAATCGACAAGATTCGAAATAATTCAAGGAACTGAAGGGCTTTAAGGAAATAATTCAAACTTAGGGTTTTAAAGAGAATACATTTTTCAGGGGCTTCACAAAAGGAACCCAGATCAAGGGATCTCAGCAAATCAACGGGCAAGGCTTTTGCTTTGACGACGTAATAGGCATGGAGAAGTCCAAAATGATGTATCCCAACATAGTAAGCAGCGCACCTAAGA